GTACAACTATCTACTGGGGCTTTGGGGGGAAAAACTGAATAAATAAAATCTTTAAAAAAAATAAATAAATAAATAAATAAATAAATAAATAAATAAGGTGTCTTTAAACAGAAACACACATAAAACAAGCTTATGTATTCTTGGGTTGATGAAAATGTTATGGCCAGAGGCTCACAGGCACAAAACTGTATTCCTTTTAGGAGTAATGGTTCAGTATTTGCTAATTTAGTGTTCACAGTGACTTTATAGAACATAACTAACAAGAAAAAATAAGAATTGACTATATATAGTATGAAATTTTATATACATTATAAAATATATATAAATGAAAATGAAACAGAATAAACATACATACCTTAACAAAAGAAGTAACAGCTGACATTTACTGAACACTTTCTATAGCAAGAATCTCTAATTTTACATTATCTCATTTTTTTTTGCCTTTTAGGCTCTATAATTTCTCCCACTATACACTTGAGAAAACTGAGGCCTGAACCTTGTATAAATCACACACATAGCTATAAGTGGTGGATACCAGAGCCGTCTGACTCCAGGGCCCTCCTCCATTAACCAGTAGCTCTGCCTCATAAAATTGATTTATTGATTTAATCAACCAAGTAATCAAACAATCACTGTTAGGCATTGTGGTCAGAGCTGGAGACTCAGCTGTGAACATGATGGCCCTGACCCTTGTGGAACCTACACTAGTGAGGATACAGGCAAGTAAATATGCATTTTAAATAACAGAGTCCCAAGGGGATATATGAGGTGTCATGCAAGCTCAAAGCAGGGGCAGCGAATCAAAGCTCCCAGCGTCAGAAAACGTGGCCTGGAGGAGGTCATGTCTAAGCTAGCCCTTCAGGCTCGAAGGGAGCTTGCCAGTTAAAGAGGCGAGGTTGTAAACATTGGGAAGAACACAGGTAAGAACGGTGGGGGTGGAGAGGGACGGTCCAATCAGATAAATCAGCTGAAGCAAGTATGATGGTGAATGACGTGAGGTCACAGTCAGATCACATTTACATTAGACTATGAGATGTCCCACAGGCACTCCAAATGCAAAGAGACTACCACTGAACGAGCCGTGGCCTATCACCTATCCTGCAGTGTGTATTACCAGTTCATCTTGATACTGTCCTAAGCAGCCACCCAAGATCTGAATCTGGCAATTTGGCTGTTATACTATATTTTTAAGACATATTTTGTCATACAAAGTGAGATAATGTAAAATTAGAGTTTCTTTCTATAGAAACTGTTCAGTAAACGTCAGCTGTTACTTCTTTTGTTAATGTATGTATGCTTATTCTGTTTCATTTTCATTTATATATATTTTATAACGTATATAAAATTTCATACTATATATAGTCAATTCTTATTTTTTCTTGTTAGTTATGTTCTATAAAGTCACTGTGAACACTAAATTAGCAAATACTGAACCATTACTCCTAAAAGGAATACAGTTTTGTGCCTGTGAGCCTCTGGTCATAACATTTTCATCAACCCAAGAATACATAAGCTTGTTTTATGTGTGTTTCTGTTTAAAGACACCTTATTTATTATATATTGTTGGTGCATTAACACTGAGCTCACAGCCAACAGCACTAGAGCTCATGCCTGGAAGAAGCTTACCTAACACATGTATGTTCTCTGTCAGGCACAGCACAGCCTTCTCGGGCTTAGGAACAGTGACAGCTCTTCAGCACTATAGTTGGGGGCCATTTTAAACAACAAAATCTCCAACGGAAAGTACAAAACTGAAAAAAACACTGGCACTAAATAGACCACAAAAAGGACACTTGTATGTAGTGTGAGAGCTGAAAGAAGGAAGAGCTTCACCTTGTGTGAACTCAGCTGGGGATATGTATGTCAGGCAACTCAAATTTTTCACTGCTTTGCACATTTCCAGGAATAACCATGAAAGTACTGATTTGGGGGTTACAAATACATTTTAGCAAATAGGCAAATTCAGAAACATGGAGTTGTGAATAATGAGGATCAACTAATATGTTTGTGTGTGTAATATATATATAATATATTTCTTTTGGTGTAAGAAAGGTTGGTTAAAAAAAATTATAGGGAAGCCAAATAATTCTGGGAAAAAAAATGAATGCTATCAAGAATTGAGAAAGAATCCACCCCTGTGGTTCCAGGCTCTAGGCCTGCCCCAGCACCAGACTGGCCCCCGAGGCCCCAGGCACCAAGCTAGTACCTTAGACCCAGCCTCCAGGCCAGCACCTGTGGCCCAATGCTCCAGGCCTACCCCAGCGCCAGGCCAGCAACGACAGACCTAGGCTCCAGGGGACCCAGGGTCAGACTGCCTCCATGGACTCAGGCTCCAGGCCCTCCTCCAACAACATCCATCAACATCTGCAAATCAATCAATGTGATACACCACATTAACAAAATGAAGGATAAAATTCATATGATCATCTCAATAGATGAAAAAAAAAAAGCATTAGACAAAATTCAACACCCTTTCAAGATTAAAAAAAACAACTCTCAACAAACTAGGTATTAACAGGGTGTACCTCAACATAATAAAGGCCATATGTGACAAGTCCACAGCTAACATCATACTCAATGGTGAAAGCAGAAAGCTTTTTCTCTAAGATCAGAAACAAGACAAAGATGCCTGCTCTGAAGACTTCT